ATGGGTGTATTGTAGCGTTTTGTTTCATAAACGTGTCAGAGTACATTGTTTCCTTCCATGAACAGATGTTTTCTCACCATATGAACCGTAATGGATCCCCCCTCCCCCAAACAATGTGGGGGGGGGGGCTCCCTGCAGGCAACATTAACCCAGTAGCCTGGTTTCACTCATGTTGCAGCCATGTAGAGAATAAAAGGTTAGACATGTCCCGCTGTAGGAAGTAAGGCTCATTCTTTACATATTTCACCCGCAGCATTTCTTTAAAACATCCTGAGTTACTGGATACGTTGCTGCTTCTATTCCATTTGAACTACAGTTCTATGAAAGCTGATCAACCCCTTTTTGTTGTGTTTGTTGCTCATATTTCCGAAACAATATATGTTGTTATTATTACTATCTACACTAGCGGATAGTAACACGGCATAGAGGTCCATTGAATACTGCACTATTCATGCTCGCAATTATGTTGTGATCAGGTTGGATTAGATTCAACTTTATTATCATGTATGCATCAAGAGGCAAAATTTAGTTTAGCGTATAAACAGAAGGGTAAACAAGTAGTAAAGTGTGGGGCGTGTGCTCAATGAAAAGTCATATCTAACTATGAAGCAAGGCGTGCTCCTCCGATCTACTTGCTATTGGTGGGTGTATTGCCGGGGACCCCATGGAGTGCTCTGTCAGATCTGTCCGTTCTGGCTTTGAGTAGCTGTGACTTTTGGGCATTATGCAACTTGGTCGTGTTAAGATTATGAATATGTATATGCTGAATAAACAGCTGGAGATGTTTAACAATGGGGGCATGTGTTAACTGCAGTACATCTGTGCGAATATCACTGTCTACAGTTTTATATCTCTCTGTGGTTGTTGATAGAGGACATGTGCACATTGCCTCCCGATTCAGTGAAACTAAAATATTCATAGTCTCCATTTCCTAAAGTCACCTTGCACATTTTCAGTTACGTCTGCCTGTCAGGCTCAAGACTTCAGACTTTTCAATCCGTGGCTCGCTCACACTCCAACTGAACCCTGCTCCTCCCATCTCGCCTACATTGTCATTATAACCAATCGCACAAAGTTGTGCTGTTGGCACTTGCATGTTGTCAGAGCTCATATACTCCAAACCTCCGACCCTGCACAACGCCAATTATTGCATCTGAAGTGCCACATTTCATATTACCTACTGTTACCAATTGTGCCCTGTGAGACCCGATGGCCTCAAACGTGGCCTACTTGTTGCAGGTAAAGCACTCAAATGCTTGTTTGAATGAATTGAATTTTCGCCATTCGCTGCAGCCACGTCGGCAGTTGGTTGGTGGTATCATTCAGCGTGGTTACATGGATTCGAATAACTGGGATAGTCGGACTGAAATCGAATTATCCGTTTCATGTAAACATCTTTGTCCGACTATGTGCGGTCCGACTACGATCCGATTAACACCCCTGGATAACTCGATCCGATCCAGTTCGACTATTGCAGCATGTAACGGTGAATCGGATAAGGAACTGGACTTTGCGTCTTTGCACATGCTTGAGATCCCGACGGCGTCTTCTCTCCGTTATCAAATCAGCCAATAGCGCCATTCGCATTCGCTGTACTCCTATTAACATCATGCAAAAATAGTAGAGGGTTGTAGCTTCACCTTGCTCTCCGTTCGCCATCTTTCCCGTAATGTTGATGTTGTTGTTGTTGGTAGTGGTGAAGCGGTCAAGCGGAAATGGCTGTATCACAACTAGTTGTAATGAAAACAGCGCCACCTATCGTATCGGATATGACATTGGTTCGATTTATTCACTGCCATGTATATTGGGATAATAGCACTTGCCCCGAAAGATAGCATAGTCCGACTAAGCAAAGATTCGAATTATACCATCATGTAATGTCTTGCTGCATTGTGGATCCCAGCAGCTGGTTGAGAATCCCAAAGCGCTGTTTCAGCCACAAACACTTATACATGTAATTGCTTTGATCTGGTATTATTACTACTACATATGTGTTTGAGTTTGCTTTGGCCCCGTCTCCATTCACCTATGAGGAGTTTCATGCAGATTCCTCAGCCGCCGTCTTTCTCTCTTTGCTACCTCCTATGAGGCGATAATGTCCCCTCTCTGAACATGGTTGACTCGACTGTGATAACACTTTGTGAAAGTGCAAAGAGACCTCAGGCCCTCGGCCCATAACTCAGCGTCTCCGCCTGAATGAGGCAGGTAGACATGAATGGAATTGTAAATGGCTCCTTTGAAAAAAAGGGGGAAAGGGGCCAACCCTCTAACAAATTGCACATAAACAAATAGAAGCTGGCCATTGGTTGTTCTGTCGCCAAAATCTTTTAAAATAGAGAGAGTTACTTGGAGAGAGAGACGGACCCCTTTCCTCCTCCTCTAGCCTAATGGAAAATATATTAGGAGTGTAACGATTCGATTCGATTCGATTCAGTGACTTGAAATCGATTCAGTAACTTTACTGGACAGTGCAGGCAAAGTTTCCGAGATCGCTGTTGTTTCTTGTAAGGAAATCAGGTTTAAATTAATTATGGATATTATAAACAAGCAAACAACAATTAATGGCAAATGTATTAACCTTTTATTTGAATCAAGTGCCATTTTCAATGTAAACTAAACTAAATGTTTGGATCAATTTAAAGAACCCCGGATTTTCAACCACATTGTAGGGTCTCATGTCTTTACAGATAAACTTGGTAATTGTTACTGTGATGTTGAGTTTGGTGCTGGCGAGGCCTGAGGTGTCTGCAGACCTGGAGTTACCTTCTGCTGCTGCTGCAGCAGTAACGCTGCTAGAGGTGCCTGACTGTCAGCGTTGTTTAATCCCACGACGCCTTAGTAGATGGCTTGAAAGATTCATCGTGTTTCCGTGTTTTTTTATTTGGCTTCTACATATTCTACAAACAGCGACCGACTTATTTAGAACACCTCCGTGTTTGCAAAAGCCAAAATGTTTCCACACGTTGGATCGATAAGTTGGTTTGTAAATGTCTCTCTCGCAGCCGTCTCCTCCACGATGTGTTTTATTGTTGTTCAGAGTTTCGCGCGGCTGCCGCTGCGCACTGATGACGTCACAGACAGGCAGACTGAATCGAGTAACGTTTAACGTATCTAAAGTGCTAAAAAACAAACAAACAAACAAACACACATCTATACAGTTTTTGTACTTAAATCCAATGTGCAGTTTCCAAGTATTGATACAATCGATTATGTACCATTTCAATCGATTTGTAATCGATATATGTCGTCCCGAATGCCGATTTGCGGAGCAGGAATATAAATCAATTAATCAATTCAGTGAATGAATCGTTGCACCCCTAATATATATATATATATATATATATATATATATATATATATATACAGGCAAAAGTTGAAAAGCACAAAAATAGCCGGCGGTGAAAAAAAAAAAAAAAATTGTGTTATTTATTTCAAGTGGCACGGAGGCTCGAGGGGATTCGTTGTGATGGCAGCACCGTGTGTGATTTATGTCTCCACAGCGCGGGGAAGAAGTCCACCGAATTTAAGTAGGACAGCAGGAATATGGAAGGCAGGGACGTCCCCCGATGACGACCTCTCAGAGAGACAATGATGCACATATTTGAGAAACGATTCCCAGTGAAATATAAGCCGGTTTGTCATCACGTCTTTAGAGTGTGTACAAAGGAACTCACGGAACTACGTGAAGACAAACAGACATATAATAGATTCAGACGAATGAATCCATGAGCGCGTGTTTCGCTTTGTGCAGCACAGCCGAAACCAGGTCATCCCGTTGTCCTTGTGAAAAACGCATAGACGCAGATTCACAGGTCGCTAAATGGCGCTGACGGCGTCGTCTAATTAGCGCTCAACACCACCGCACTCCGTCCTCCTCATCTGTGGTGTTGGCGTGTGATGGTGGAGCCACGTCCAGCTTCCCACTGGGGACAGACGCCTCTAGAAGCCATGGCTCTCTCCGAGTTGTTCTCCGTAGCTCTGACTAGAGTGGGAGCAATTTGAGATACACGTGAGGAGGAAAAGCCCGGACAATGATTGAAACGCCCTGCTGAGCTGAGATAAGAGCTGAGAACGGAACGATGGTAAACATCACAGAGAGCACATTTCTTTAAAGCTTAAAGCTGAAGACTCTTTGAGGAATAGATTGAAGGCTCGAGGCCTCGAGGACCTGATGTTCTGAGAGATGATTTAGAAATGTGGAAACTGGTGCGGTAGAATTAAAAGTTTCGCATGGCAGAAATACTTTTGCTTTCAAGAAGCCTGGTTGAGAGGGAATTTGTATTGTATGGAAAAGTAATTATCAACTCTTATAAATATGCAGACACATAAATTACATTAGTACATCAATACAACACATTGTATTTGTAAAGAATCAGCCAGCTTCCTGTTTATTCACTTTAAGACACTTTTGGATGGATTTTATTGACCATAAAAGTATGTTTTTCACATTTTTTCAAAGCCCATAATGACATGTATACGTTGACCAAATACCAAATTAAAATGCCTGTTTTATTTCCGTATTAACAGTCCAAAACTTCAGAACCAAGAGTTTCAATTCAATAACATACTAATTGATTCATTTACTATTTCAGCCCTTAACTATATTGATAGAGCCAGACCCCCTATAAGGGTGAACAAGGAACAAACTAAACTAACCTCCAGCTGCTCTTCCCCCACCTCACCCCCTTCTCTCTAATGCTTCCTCCCCCCTTCTTCCTCTTCCCATTGTGACCAACCACCTTTTCTTTTTTACTCATCTTGTGGAATCTGCTGCATCACTGAAGACCCCCCCCCAGCCCACACAGGCACTGGCCTCTTCCACACAGCAGAGACTCACACACTGAGGCGGGCCGGCCTTGACATGCAAATATAGCCTGAGTAGGCGGCAGCCTGTGAGCAGCCTGTGCTGCAATGTGAGGACTCCTGCAAGCCCCGCCCACAGAAGCCAGTTGCTAAGCAACCTTGTTGGCGAGGGGAGGGAGCGGCCGTGAATTCAACAACTGTTGCCTGAATCTAAGCTCTCACTGTGTGAACGCGAGTCGGCCGGCGAACGCAGTCAGCGAGGAAGGGAAAGAGTGTGAGGTGCAGAGTCTGGGCTTGTGTGAGTGTGTGTGTTTGTGTGTGTGTGTGTGTGTGTGTGTGAGTGCGTGTGTGTGCGTGTGAGACACCAGACAGCCGGTGCAGTGTTTTTAAAGGGAACGGTACATCTGCTCCTCTGCCTCTCTACTTTGGACTGAACCACTAACCAGGACTCACCCTTTGGACTATCCCAGCTCTACTGGCCTCTCAAGGGAACACCTGCGCGTGCGTGCAGGTGTGTGCGCTGTGTGTGTGTGTGCGTTTGCGTGTGAGCGGAGGCAGCGGACTTTGCCCCCGGTGAACAGTGGATGACTTCAGTGGACGCTTGAAGAGGGGGACTGCTGACCATGGACTCCCCTCACTAGTGGACGGGGTAAGCGGAGCACACTGCACGCAGCCAGCTGGGGGCAAGCGGGCTGATCACATGACAGAGCGAGAACAAAACAGGGACTCCATCAGGAGGAACCTGAGGGTTGTAGTTAGAGACAGGCGTGACATTTAGGAAAGCAGGGGTAGTTTATACGTGCAGGGGGGGGAGTTCTGCGGCTGTGCAGGGTCCGTTGCCCCCCCCCCCTTCAGATGAGCGTGTGTGTGTGTGTGTGTGTGTGTGTGTGTGTGTGTTGACCCCTGGCACACAGTCTGTCTGTCCCTTCGTGTTGTCTCCCCCCTCGTCCCCCGTCTACTCTCCCCATCACTTCCTCTCTCTCTCTCTTTCGAGCGCCCGCGGTTCGCAATGGGCTCAATTGGAGAAAAAGCATCGGTGGCTGCAAGGAGGCGATAAAGGAGGGCGAGCGAGACAGAAGGCGTGTGCAGGCCGGGCGGGTAGAAGCGGCTCATAGAGGAGTAGTTTCTGTCTGACAGGACCAATGGGAGAATGATGTTTGGCACTGGAATAGAAGATAGCGTGGGATGTTATGATTCCTCCCGTCATGTGTTTTTAACATCCTCACTGTAAATATTCAGTCTGAATCGAGTTATCGCTTTTTAAAAATTTTATTTAGACCATAATTTGGAGAAAGAAGAGAAGTTTTTCTCGAAAAAATCCAGTTGTGTTTGGAAGCGGCCACACTGAAAGCAGAGTGGGTGTACAACAGGGCTGAGGATTGACTTCATGTATTTGAAGATACTTGATTTGCTGCCTGGAAGAAAATAATATTACAGTTTTACCTAAACAATTAAAGTAGAGAGGTGTGCGATATCGAGATCATCTTCAGAATTCAGAAGATCTAAATAAACAAGGCGCTGTTGACAACATAAGTGATCCATATTGTCTGTTGTGATATCCGTCCGGTGATCCATAAATAGAATGGCACGGTGGCTTTTGTTTGTGAAGATTTTAATGGCAACAGGTAACGTCAGACGTTCGTGGTTTTGAATGCTCCTGGTCTGTGACATAACACAACGAGATTAACTCGTCTTCATCCGAGCAGGAAACACCCTTTTCTCTTTTAGAAAGAAAACACTTTGATTACGTTAATGTAATTTTAGCTGGGTTTTTTTGTTTCACAATTGTTTGATCACGTTTCCCTTTAACGAGAAGCGGCACGTCTTTGACGTTGCACCGTGTGTGCACCAGGACTAGAATAACTAGATTAGCATGCAGTGCTGAGCCGCGCAGGCTGAATGGAGGCTAATCTGCATGAGTTTAGAACAGTCACTCCTTTCTATGATGTCACATATAACATCACATTGGTACTGAGAGAGAGGGAAGAGTAATCTCTGGACAAAACCAAGGATTATCTATAACACGCTCACATTTTTCTCAAGCCTTTTTTTGTCTCCGAACTTCTCATACTTGTTTTTTTTCATATTTTGGGAAAAATATTTAAAGTAGTTATTGTTCCAAAGCGCAAAAGACAATGGCTTAAGCAACGGCTCAAGCAACGGGTGAAAAGAGGCCAAGTCGGACCACCTGCTGAGGGGTCTGCCCCTAACCGCCACTGAAATGCCCCCATTCAGCGGCTGACAGCAGGAAGGCTGACAAACAGGCACTTAGGAGAAAGACAAAGACTTTCTTTTCTTTTCCCCGGACGTGAGTTTGATGACACGGGGAGGACGGTCCGTACGCTGGACACAACACACATGGGCTGAGGACCAAACGTGAGGGAGGGTCCCTGCAGCTATGCTTGAGTCGTGCACCTTGAAAATAAAGTATTTTTTTCTCTGCCTGTAATCATTATCAGCAGCTCCATTGAGTCACAACCTTGGGTTGACTTCTGAGGGTTAAAGCGGCCTGCCTTGTTTTGGTATGAAGACGCGTGGTTGGCACAGAGACTGCAGGCTAATAACCCAACATGCACCTGCCTGCCTGGTGTGACAACTTCTCTAAATCACACCTCAATATGCCAGCGGTAACGTGGGGTTCATATACGTTTGACTGGTGCTGGTGCTGTACACAGTGGACATTCTTATTTTAATTCTGCATGGTGAGAAACGTGAAACGTGCTCAGTGTGCTGCTCTGGTCCCTCCCTACACTGTCCTTTGTCCACTGCAACATTCCTGGTAATATAAAGCAGCTACCTGTTTGGACTCAGGTGGAAACTAGTGTGTGTGCGTGTGTGTGCGTGTGCGTGTGCGTGTGCGTGTGTGTGTGTGTGTGTGTGTGTGTGTGTGTGTGTGTGTGTGTGTGTGTGTCTGCACTACAGAAAGCCCCAGTGTTCATGTTTGACTCAAAGTTCTGACTTGGAGATGAATGAGCACTGGGAGGAAGAGATGGTTTAATTGACTACTGGAAGTCTCGGGTGCTTAGTGTGCTTAGTGTGCTTAGTGTGCTTAGTGTGCTTAGTGTGTGTGTGTGTGTGTGTGTGTGTGTGTGTGTGTGTGTGTGTGTGTGTGTGTGTGTGTGTGTGTGTGTGTGTGTGTTTCATAATGTTGACTTTATGAAACGGGAGAGAAATGTGACTCATTACTTCCCCTTTGTGTAAAGTCTAATGAGTGTGCCTCACTGAACAACTGAAGGGGCAGCGTGTCAACGTTCGGGTTGACAACTAACTATTGATTTTGTTCTTGATTGATTGATAAGATTATTATTTTGTAACCTCAGAAAACATTGTAAACATGAGTTCATGGTCTCAATCTCTGGTTGCAATTCTTCTTCAATACATTCTAATGTTCATTTAGTAAATTATAATCCGTTTGGACTAAAATAGACCATTTAGCTGAGTATGCTTTAGGGGCGGGGCCACCTTGTGATTGACAGGTGACTACCTCTGTGTTGCCTGGGTTTTCTGTCTCAGTGTGTTTTCAGTTCATAAAAGGTTTTAAAGGCTTATTCGGTTGTATGTTCAGCTCCACCTTCTCACGTCACCTCTGGTTGCAAAACAACAACACAGAAATGGTCAAAAACCGAGCTAGCGACGCCCGAAATGCCAAACAATAATACCAAGATGGTGTCACATAGCTATGTCCGCTCCTTCTATGAGTCTGTGATTTGACTTGAAAATATTAGGAAATAGTTGAAATGTCAGCAATTAGCCAAACAAAAGTTCAAAAGTAAAAAATAGTTTAGATATGAATAACAACCAATCTGAGAAGAGGGAATGCTCAACGAATGTCTAGCATCGTGTAATTTGCTGGTCATGTCTGCTGTTTTTGTACACATTGGTGAGTCAGATCGACCATTTAAGGTTCTGTGAAGCCTCTTTTGCCCTCTTGCCCCCAGCCGGTGGGGTTTGAGGCTGAGGCCCGACGGTAACAACGCTGAATATCTGAGCAGAGCAATTCACTCTATCGGTGAATATCTCTGTGGTGGCAGCAGTCCAGGAGCTCCGGGTTTAGGATAATGGAAGAAAGAGAGAAAGAAATGAACAAACACAAGCACAGAGGCCGCTGTTCTCTCTCCGCTGCCCTTCTTTATCGTCCTGTCAGCAATCCCACCTCTATGTTCCCCCCTTACTATTAGAGCGACCCTCTCCAGCTCACCCTGGAGGCCCTCTTCTGCTAAATTGCACTAAATCAAAGCTTCATCGGTGTGGATCAATGCGGTCGATGCCGGTCCGTGCGCCTGCTCATCCAATCGCTGTCGTCCGTGTTTACTTGTCTGTCCCTTTTAAACTATTCGAATGCTATGATGATTTAGTGCAGCACGGACCATCTTCACTTTTGTGTCCACTATTGATTTGAATTTCTGTAAAGTTTGAAAAAAAAACGACAGACAGCACGATCAGATCTGAAAGAGGAGTGAATCTCCTGTTGATAGAATGAGACGTTCAGGGTGCGAAACTCATCGTCGTCCACGTAGTTCTCCGCTGCGGCAGGAGGGCTGATTAGTGGCTTGTTCAGCACTAAACCCGTCTTGACCCCTCACCCTGGACTAACGGGTGGCGAGCAGAGGCGGATGTACTTTTAATGGTCCGACCCGATAAAGACTTGTGGCCTCCTGCGACTTCTAGATTGGCCGGGGACGTCCCGTTAATTAGCCTCTCACTGAGAAATGAGGTCATGTCGCTCTGTCTCTGCGTGAGAGCGTAAGTGGCAAAACGCTGTTTTCTGCCTCCGATATTAAAGAACAGATGCCGGACCGATAAAGGTAAAAGGAACACAATGAACTATGAAGAAAACGAATCGTTTCTACAACATTCGACACAGCACATCCAGCCTTCTGGCTTCATGAGACACTGACCGATCCTGCCTGTGTGTCTGTGAGGATTTTGCCTTGTGCGTTTGGATGGTTCCATGACTTAACTGGCCGTCGCGTCAGATGAAATAACATTGCAATGCCTCGTATGTGAGTATGAGCCACGTGTCTTCCCCCCCCGCCCAAAAAACTGCATCTCATTTTTCGCCGCTATCTCCCACGCGTTGCTCATCCACCGCAGGATGACAAATGCATTTCTCAACGGTTCCGAGCTTCACGACTCAGCGTGATTTCTAGTCGTCATCCATGTTGCATGAACTCCATCAACATCCATGCACTCCTGGAAAAAAAAAACGCGTCTCGGCCAGATTATTCCTCCCTTGTGACACACGCCGAGGCGGGTGTGTTGTGTTGTGTTGCGCACTGCAACGGTGCTCGCCGTTAGTTTCAGATGTCTCCGGCCCTCATTTATTTATCCTCTTCATTTCCCGTCCCGCTCGCTCTTTCCTCCTCACGGCTTTCATCTCTATTGCAGATGCAATGGGTGTAAATAATTGATCTTTCCCTCAGAGCCCGGCCGCGCTAGAGCCTCTTTTGTACTCTGTCCTGCAAATCTGGGCTACCGACCTTTTCCCTCTGATGCTCCCGGTGTCCCACCTGCGATTTCTCACAGACAGACTCCACTGGCTTCTTCAGCCAAGCAGCCGGCACCTGGAGGGGGAGAATCCACACACAAACCTACGGATGTAGTTGTTGTATCACCTTCTCATCTCGGGAAAAAGATGTTCTGGTTCTCGTCTGCCGTTGGCCTCACCTGGGAGGGTGGAGAGCGAAGCAGGGAAAAGATAGAATGTCTGTATCTTAACTAGGTCAGACCCTGCAGCAGCGGACCCACAGAGAGATCAGAAATCTAGTTTCCTATTTTATTGAAAGATATTTCAAAAGAGAGTGCAACAGCGCTGACGGTGGGCAGAATGATGCTTTTTCTGTGAGCTTCTGCTCTTTTCCTCTTTGTCTTTATAATATGTGGACACAGGCGTGGATCCAAGCTGAACAGGGAAACTTCTTAATCCCTTTTTCGACCCATTAGAAGTCATCATCTTAAGATGTGGAATAGATTTAAGGATGGTGTTGAAATAACATATACCACCCTGCAGAACAAATACTCTGAAATATCATATAGATGTTGGTGTAATATACAAGGTGTGCTACCAAACACTGAATGGATTCAGATTAGTTCACTGGATGGGAAAACCCACCGATGAAACATCCATAACAGAGTTTATTAAAAACCTAAGCAAACAATTCATGGTGATAAAAGGCCAAAGACTGAAAGGCTCGTCCTGCCAACTCAACACACCGTGTAGGCTCATGTGATGGCAAGTCCTCGAGTACAGAGTCCACCAGAGAGTCGTACTGTAAACACACACACACACACACAGGTCCTACATCCTTTATCACTTCTTTACTCTTTTCACCAGAATGCAAAGTAGCTATCAGGAAATCGCTCAGTGGCGGCCTGAATGATGCTTTCGTTCCTCCTCGAGTGTTCACCTAAACAGAGGACAAATTAAAATAATAATTAAATTCAACCTCCACTCTGCATATTGCACCAGTGTAACATACGCCTTGTCTATTGTATAGTACAGGCAGAATCCCCTTTTCAGCCTGCAGTGGGAAGCTTGGCTCTGCAGCCATCACTGCATCCTGTATGAGACGAACTTCCTCTTGTCTGCTCCTCAAAACAAACACAACAGGTGTCCAACGTCCCCAAAGTGTGAGCTGGTTCAGGTTTTTCTGTAATATTGCGTTGGTGTTATCGGTGGTGACTCGGCTACGGACCCCGCGTTGCCTCTCTGTTAATTCACTTGTACAGGAATGCAGGTTTGTGTGAGGTTTTTTTGTTGGGGGAGGTGCGTTGTGGGATAGAGATGTAAACAAATATGAATACATTATTGGAATATGAGCAGATATCTCTAAACAGATGCAAACAGCATTCATATTTTTGCAGTAATGTTTGTAATTTACTGATCTAAGGTTTGGGACCTTATTTTTATTTTCCCTACTCACTAAAGACCAACTTCATTTACATCTAGATCTGCATTCACAAACTCATTGTTTTGAATTAAGCAATATTACCGGCATCATGTTTGTATGGTTATTTATTTTCTTTTAAATATACCCTCCTTTTATGAGATTCATTTAGTATTTCTCTTGGTCTCCTCCTTGTATGTAAACTGTTTCTAGTTTCTAGAGAAAGATACAATATGCAGACCAATTTTGACCTGGACGTTCCCTTTTATTTCCACTATTCATTCCTACCCAGGAAATTAAAAGTTCTGTCCTTTTATTTGTAGGATAGAATCAAATCCAAATCACCTTTTGTTATTTGACCAGGTGGTTAAATCATTTTTACTTTTGTTATACATACATACACGTTTCTATCACACCTGTTGCTGTAAATCCAGCGAGATCTAAAGTTTATTTTTGTGGCCTTCAGCTTTGCGTTCGACCCCAAGCCCCAAGCATGGGATTGAAGATAGGCTGTTTAATGTTTGTACATCAGTAAATCTCCAGGTATGAGAGAGACAGATTTAATAGTGTGTAGAGTCAGTTCGGTTCCTCTCTGACTACATCTTGGCCTGCTCTCCTCCTCAGTGTTCAGTCACGCTGAGTCCTTGTTCTGTTTGAGATTTGAGCCGTGTGAGAGTGAAACTAGACGGAGTGGGACCTGTGACCTTTGCCCTGTCGCCCTCTCACCTTTTCATCACCCCCTAAACTCCCAATGTGAGGTTAAGAGCATTCCCACAGTGAAGGAATTCACTAAGTGGGAGGACCAACCTTAAAAGAAGGGTTAAAACTTGCAGAAAAAGGACTACTTGAATGTGTAACAAAGGACTTCGGCTGTATATTTCTGATACATTACAAGACGTCACGCTTACCACTTCTTATATGCAGTTATGGTATTCTGTTTATTGTTTATTTTTTGATGCATTTTGACAAATGCAAATCCTCAATAAAAATTCTTCAAACAAATTCTGGAGAAGGAGAAGACAGAAGCAAACACTTACCTACTTGCCTCCTTCTTTGACCTAAATAATGGACAATAACAGCATTCTTTCTTTTTCTGAACTGAACTATCTGCTCTGTCATTTACTGCCAGTTACCTTCTGTGTCTGTTGTTCGGTGTCTGACTCCCGTCTTCCCATCGTTCTTCAGGTCGGTGAGGAGGAGCGCCTTCCGGTCATCATGTGCACGCGGCCCGCTCCTGACCTTGTCCCTGAGTGCCAGCTGTTCCCGGGGGAGGTGGGGGGTCCTGAGGAGGAGGCGGCAGACGAGGGCAGGGAGAGGGAGTCGGACAGAGACAGTGCTGTGGAAAGCACCCAGGGTTCGGACACCTCCGACGGGCCGGTCAGACCTGAGGACAAGGAAGACGCACTGGGGCATCTCTTTTTTCCTGGGGAGAAGTAAGCTCTAAATCAGTCCACAGTTCAGGGACATGCATCTGTTTTATATTATATCCATCGCCCTGATTAACATCAGGCTCTCTAAAGTTCTCAGTCAGGCTGAATATTTAAATAAAACTCCTTCAGCTTCATATTTGTCTTCTCTCTGCTACTTTTTTCTTTTCCTGTTTAGCATATCAAGCTATGAGGGAAAGTATTCCCTCAAACAACTAAGGATAACATCGCCCCCTTCTCTTTCCTCAGGTGTGGTCAGACCAGCGTCTCGGTGACCTCTGACCTGTCCTCGGCGTCGCTGAACGAGGAGCAGTTCGAGGACTACGGCCAAGGGGAGGAGCCGGACTACGCTGCAAGCAGCCCGTGCCCGGACGACGAGACTCGAGCGAACGGCTGCTCCGACCTCGGCTCGTCCGTTCCCTCCAGGTAAGAGTGTAAAAGTGGTCAACTTTGTGTCTATTTATGGTTTCATAATAACGGTCAAATATTTTAATATTCAAACACTCACGTTAAGCCTCCATAACATCCTGTAAAGAAACAGAATCAGATGTGTTTGTCGGTTATTTTGCAACAGTAAATAGAATTTGGGTAATTAAATTCATCCCTTTAAAGGATTATGTAACTAAGTGGATGTTGACGCATAGTCGCCTCTGTTCTTCTGCAGTTTCAGTATAAAAGCACAGTCCTGATGTTTTGGGCATGAGGGTGAAAGAACAAGGCGAGGTGGTCACTGCACACCTTCAATTTGCATATTATTAATATAATTATTATCCAGCATTTTTCTCATTTCTTCATAGACCATTAACAAATGTTTGGCGGTCCAGCAGTGCAGGTAGAAAGGTTCTCACAGGTTAGATTCTGATGAAGACAATGATCATTTCCTGAAGCTCTAACTCTGTTACATATTATGGACTTGAGGCTCCACTCAGCCGATCCATCAGCGGACTTGTATTATTATAAGAGGCTCGAAGTGTAGCCGAGGCGTTCTTGCCCTGAAGGCCACATTAATATTCAACAGGCCCGTGTTTAATGGGATTAAGTCTCCAGGCTGATAGAGTGGCAATGCGTCTCTTTCCTCGCATACCAAGCAGACAAAACTCCCTAAGTGGAGTTTTAAATTCAAAATGAGGCCCTCGGATTTACAGGAGGTGAAAGAGGTTTGAACGAGTACAGCACAAAGTGGGTCAAAAGGCTCACTCACTGCCTCTGGAACCAGTGACTCAAACTTTTAGAGATGGAAAACTGTGTGTTTACTTTCAGGACGTTATTGGAACAATACAAAAACAGGGAGTGTGTCGTTTTTTCATTGCAAGTTAAATTTCCGGATTCAAATATTAATTCCAAACAAAGTCTTGTATGTCATTTGTCAGAAGAAAATCTTCCTCCATCTTTGAAATCATCTCTCCCTGTTTCACTTTTCATTCATATTGTCGTCATTTGTATAGCGGATAGAGAGATCAGTCTCACTCTTCCACACACTTAAATGTCTAAAACTGGCGTCTTGTCCGTGTGTCGTGCAGCTAAAGATGTGTGTGTGTCTGTGTGTGTTCACAGTGCGGGGCAGACTCCTCGTAAGGTGCGTCAGCATTACAGCGGTGAACTGATGGACGTCTACTGCTCTCAGTGTAGCAAAAAGGTCAACCTGCTGAACGACCTGGAGGTTCGCCTGAAAAACCTCAAGACTAACAGGTAGGAGACACGCACGCACACACCCGCACGCACACAACCCAAACTCACACAAGATCTACACACATCAAAATCCTGTTGGTTGCAACAGCTGCAATAAGAAGTTGGACGGATAAAAATACCTACTTAATTAACATTTGTCATCCCAGCGGTTTTGAACACGTCCACTGTGTATTAAAATACAATAATATAATAATGACCACTGTAACCTGTGTCAGCTATTATGTCAGTTGTATTATGTCGGTCACTCCTGGGCTCATCTCACAGAGCGTTGTAACAGGGAATCTATTATTGGAAACATAATCCATTAATACAGACCGCTGGATACCAGCAAACACAGCAGTGCACACACAGACAACACATGGTTGCAGAGTAATGTTTTTCAATATAGTTTTGTTCCTTTGACTCGCTGCTCACTGTGCAGTATTTCTCCCCAGAGAGACAGCTCTATCATCCAACACGTCTCCGTTAATTAGACCTTCCCCATAAATAACCAGGTAGCGCTGGCCATAGGGCAAGAGTGTGAGTGGGAAGAGCCAGAGGTAAGGGAGAGTGAAAAGTGGAAGGAAGTGGATTTTGTTGAAATAGGAAGGTGGGGGGAATTGATCTTGATGAGTGTGAAACTGAGGAAAAGGCACAATAAAGCTCAGTCCAAAGAATGGTAGTTTTTAGGCTTTGAAGGTTTCAGAAGGGACAGAGGAAGGGGCTCCTGCCACGGAGCAGCATACTCTGTTACTAAGTTCATTCAAGTTACTCAGTTTCATGAATATTTATCAAACTATTTTAAATGTGTCATGGATTGTTGGATTTGAATGAAAATTGCGATCAAATGTCAATAACACTAAAAATATAATTGTACGTACAACAAAAGAAACATTTGAATCACTCAAAGGCGCTTTAAACGAGATTGGTGGGTGTTGTCATTGCCTCTCCGAACTCCACAACTGCTGAGCCAGCGATTTGCGACTATCAGCACAAACTAAGGCAACAGTGCTGACAGAGCCAACAGTTTCTCCCGGAGTCGCGGTTGGGGGCCGTAGGCTGGGGGGGGGCCACGCTTCCATGACAACGGCGTCAGTTGGTGTTTGTATGCCTAAATGTTTTTGATGGGGACTTTTTAGGGATTAGCCAATGAGCATGCAGGAACATTTATTGCCAAAATATGTAAATATGGACAGAACCTATTGTTGAACTTACATATTGTACGTTATGTAGCCACACATGAGTGCATTTTGGGAAGATTGAAGTTGTGTAAAGACACTGGAAGCAGTGTTGCCCTTTCCTGTGTATGTTATTTAATAACTTAAAGAAGGCCTTCGGTGGAGTGATACATCACTCAGGATTGTTCACTCTGAACTTGGCATGTCGAATGCTGCAGGAAGATCAGCCTGTCGGACAGACTTGTCTGATATTTATCGGTAAAGCTCCTTATGACATGAGAGGCCCATTTGTGTTAATCCAACGCAAACACAGACCCGTCTTACTGAACGGCTCTTGGCGCGAGTGTTGCCGAGCTGACAGAGATCTCCGCCCACTGAACGGGAGCGATATTGTGTTATCATTGACACAACCTTCAGTGTTTCTTTCTCTCTTCCCTGCACGTCTGTCACGCTGAATAGCCCCAAATCGTTACGGTAATCAGCATTTAGATGCACTGCCACGTTGGGCCGGCTGAGTCTGAACGTATCGCTGCCACTTCTAGGTAATAAAAAGTGTTTGTCATTTTATTTTTCCTCATGCAGCCCCAACAGGAAAATCACCAGCACTGCCTTTGGAAGGTAAGCCACTCACCTGTGTGTGTGTGTGTGTGTGTGTGTGTGTGTGTGTGTGTGTGTGTGTGTGTGTGTGTGTGTGTGTGTGTGTGTGTGGAAGGTCACCCACTACCTTGCAGTATAAAGCCACGTGTTTGCTGTATTTAATGACATAGTCACACTAACACCACCTCGGATGTCAGATCATTGTGCTCCAACAGCTGCTTGATTGGTGACCGGTTTGCTCACAAGGAGGAAAAGAAATACACGACATGTGGGTGGAACACATCTGATCATTGTCGTTGTTTTGTTCCGGCGTTGATTAAAAACAAAAAGACTGGACATAAGCCGTCTCAGTGTTAGCCATGTGTCCCTCCCCTCCGTCTTCTCCTGAGTGAAGTGTTTTGCGTCCAGCCTGCTGTCCTACTTCCTCCCGCAGTAACTGAATCACAGCGACAGAGTGAAAACGGCCTGTCAGACCTGATCTATGTGTTCAATATAAGGTTAGGCTGCTTCTCGCTACTCTCTGTCTGGTTTGATTACTCTCTCCACTTTATTGCGCTCTTTATCTGTTCTTCTGTGCCGGCTCCTTCCTGTTTTCCTCTTCAAGCCTCGGCAGGTTTTTTTTTTGGTACGGATGTCCGTTCTCGTGAATGCAGTATCTGAGAAACGCTTAGAAGGAATGTTCTTCCGTTTCTGCCCAAATGTCCACCGAGGTTCAAGGAATTTGCTTAACAGAATGTGGTTGTCAAAGGTTACTGAGTTCATAAAACACTTGTCTCTCCAGCTCTCGAGTGTCAAAGTATGAACATTTTGGACAGACGTGGATGTAAACCACAGCTGGGCTGGTTGGTAAAGACATGAGGAATCGATTCTGTCTTTTCCATTTTTCTCCTCTGCATATCGCTAATCTGAGTAATGGATCAGAAACTTGCTGCTCTCTCAGCTGTAGTCATCTACCAATGTGTGTGTGTGTGTTTGAATTCTATTTGCGGCGGCTTTACTTTCTGGCAGCATCCTCATAGTCTTTTACCTTCAATGTAATCTCCCACTGCGGAGCAGAGAACTCGTCCTTTGTCTCTTTCTAACACACACATATACGTATGTACAGTATATATATATGTGTGTGTGTGTGTGTGTGTGCTGGTGCGCAGCTGGATCAGTTCGGGGCGTTCAGGCTCTTTAAGTGCGGGTCCTTGTGTGTTTGCGCAGGCAGCTGCTTCACAACAGCAACTTGAGCAGCAGTAACGGCAGCACTGAGGACCTTTTCCGAGACAGCATCGACTCCTGTGACATCGACATCCATGAGAAGGTACGATGGCGCTTGGTGTCCTTGTGTGTGCGTGTGTGTGCACAGTTTTGTCGGCCCATATGTCGATGTGTATTTGAGCTTTCCTGTGAAGCATTCAGCATTCTTTACGCTGTGGCTCGAGAATCACGGAGTAAAGAGTCGTTCGGGATACTAATTCATCAGATGAGCCCGGTCAGGACGTCTCCTACGTCACTTAATGGAATGGGGTTATCATTTTAAAGCCCTTAAAACCTCAGGAGTTACACAATGCCTCTTCGTCAGGAAAGTGTGTTCTCGTTTTTTTAACGACAATGTGAGATTTTTTCTTTGTCGAGAGACATTCGCTAACTCCTCATCAAAGATCTCACTGAATCCTCTAATGTAATTAAGAAATCAATTGTGTTCACGGAGTTCAGGATTCAGCCTCCTCTGATTCTGTCAGGTGACTTCTCTGGAGAAGAAGGTAGCCGAACTGGAGAAGGAAATCCTGATGAACGTAGATGTCAAGTCCAGGCTGAAGCAGGAGAACACGCAGATCGTCCACAGGTAGAGTCCGTCAACCGGGCGTCCTCAAAAGAGGTGCGCCTCGGCTCCGGTTGTGATACCACCTCCCAACTAATTTTCGGCGGTGTGTATGTTTTCGTCGCTGCAGGGTTCATGAGCTTGAGGAGCAGCTGAAAGACCAGGAGACGCGAGCGGAACAAAGTCTGCAGGAGGGGCTGAGACGACACCGAGAGTCCTACGGCAAGATGGAGAGAGACAAGAGCACGCAGATAGAGCTGCTGACCAGCCGGTAAGAGGCCCGTCCCCCGCGTGGTGTCACAGAGATGCAGAGAGACAGTGGAGACGAGAGTTCATTCTACACCGACATGCTTCCCTGTTCTGAGAGAAAGCGCAGTGCAAACTGACGTCAAGGTATGTCGTGTTTTCAGGGTGAAGCAGGTGGAGGAGGAGAACAGCGAGATGAGTCTGAGCTTGAGTCGGCTCAAATCACAGACAGAGAAACTGGATGAGGTGAGCAGCGTTTACGTGTGGCTTTACTTTGTACGTGGCTCTTAATCTTGTCCGTCCTTTGTTCAATCTGTCTTTTCACACATTGGAGCTCCAGAAGGAAATGAAGGTAGAAAGAAGTGAGATGTAGTTTGATGTTATCCTGTTCGACTGTTATGCTGCAATTTGAAGTTTAGCCTTAGGATCACACCATTCCTTTAATTTGGGAATGCAATAACTTAAACTGTAAAACATCTTGGATATTTGATCCACTGCCATCACAGTCATAGATGGCGATGCCATGGCAAATTTTTATTTCACCTTGTTCCTTGGCTCTAGCATGTCCCTTAATTCTGCTTCACTATATGAAACAACAGACTATTCATTTTCCTAATTCACAATTCTCATGAATTAGCGCTGGTCATCACGCCGTTCTGACGTGGCACAGCTCTACAAACCCACAGGGGAGAACGAAGTGAAAGAGAAAGAACACAAACCTCGTTCCCAGACAAGACTGAATCGGCGGTCGGCACTTGCGAGCATGCTTATGCAAACCTCTGGCTGGGGCATCTGCTGTTGTTGAGGAGGGGGGACCATCTTTGAATGATGTAAAATCTCATTAACTCTATATTCTATATAGCCTTTAACTCTATTATCAAATATGAAAGGCCTGTGTTCCTTAACAAAGAGGTACAAGTGTCTTAGTGGGTTTGGGCCGTTGTAATGATTGCATACTGCAGGAACTCCTGTCTCAGAAGAGCGTCTATGTTTGACGAAACAAACTGTCCTTCGTCAGGAGAAGCAGAGGATGACCGACAAGCTGGAGGACACCAGTCTGCGCCTGAGGGACGAGATGGACCTCTACAAGAAAATGATGGACAAACTGAGGCAGAACAGGCAGCAGTTCCAAAAAGAAAAGGAGGCCATGCAGGAGGTGGGAGGGGATATTTAATGCAATCAGACGCACGGAGTGGGTTGTTGGCTCCGCGGCCTCACACGCCTACAGAGCTGCAGCAGCACACTGTATCGGCGTTACGTAACATCCTCCGTCCGTCCTGTCTCTGTGCGCAGCTCATCGAGGACCTGCGTCGAGAGCTGGAGCATTTGCAGCTCTTCAAGCTGGAGGCAGAGAGGACCGGCCGCACGCGCAGCTCTTCCTCCGGGCTGGCGGACTTCAACAGCAGGACCAGGGAGGTGGAGCTGGAGCACGAGGTCAAGAGGCTCAAGCAGGTACCGACCCAAGGCCGGCTTTGTTAGTGCAGAGGCAGCGTGGTGCGCGCTTAAAGCTGCAGAGATGATCGTCTCACATTGATTTCAGATGTTGCTGTGCAGAGATGCAACGTCTGAAAAGCTGTTGTCTGACCCCTCGTTTTTATTCATTCCAACCAGCAAACACCTGTTTTCCAATCCAAACTTTGTCTCAATTCTGACTCATTTCTTATTAAGTAGGTTCACTTTTAATTGTGTCCACTGTACTTGCACAGTGATTCTAATGGGCTTTTGGCAAAATTCCTGCAGAACTCTGTAGTTATAGTTTCAATTTAGCGCATGAATTATTGTTACTCTTGCGGCTGCTAAGTGCATCCAATCAAAGCAGGGTGATGTATTACATATATTATCACACATTGCCAGTGGGGTTAAGGGATGCTGACGCTCACAGTCAATCGCATTGGCCCCTCACGTTCCCTTAAAAGCCTTAAAATGTGTTGCACCTCATCCCAACATGACACCAGCTGCAGAGTAAATGTGTTTAGTAATGAGTCACTTTCTTTCACTTTTTTCTTTTTTTTTCTTTCCGTATTCTGCTGATATTTCCCCCGAGTTACTTGCCTGTCAGACCCAAATGTCATGTAACTGTTTTAAGTCTGGTAATGAGGACGGACCTGGTGCAAAGTAAACATTAGAGTGCTTCTCAGACCTCTATAATAGTAGGAAAAAGTGCCTGTACTCGACCCATTTTTATGACTAAAAAAAAGGAAAATAGACATCAAACCTTTGGGCCCCTCTGTAAGTGGTCATTTAGAAGTGCTAGTTTGTGCAGCGTGTGTGTGTGTGTGTGTTATCCTAAGATAATAAACTCCACGTCCCGCCTGTGGCCGGATGGCGAACGATACTACTCCCTCTCAATAAATCAGCTTCCTATTCTGATCTAATCTGAGATTCACTGCCCTGTGCCTTTCATGGGGATTAGCTCACTATCTTGTCCTTTCCTGAACACTCCTGTAAAGTGTCTCTATGTGTGTGTGTGTGTGTGTGTCCAGCGATTTGTGTCCCAGGACTTTCTCCCCCACGACCTCCAGCACCTGGTGTTGTCTGGGGCTCGGCTCCGTCCTGGTCTGATGGTAAAATCGCTCCCTCGACCTCCCCATTAACCACTAATCACACCGGAGTAGAGTGATCGTGCCCGGGCTGAACCGGGGTCAGTGCTGCAATTCCCTCGCTAAATTACTCAGGGAGGAACGAGGGGAAAAGCACACTGACTTCCTATCAGCCCTCAAAGGCAACCTAATCACGGAGCTTCCATAACACGGCAGTGGAAAAAGTCAGGGTAGCGGTTTGTTCTGTAACACGCATAACCCATGTCATGTCCCTATAGATGATGCCAAAATAGACCGCTGCTGGATGAGGCTCCTGAATTGCAGCGCTTTGACCCGCGGCTTGATTGAGGCTTGAGTAGAGGCCGTTTAAAAAAAAAAAATCTAAAAAAGCGGCATCGCTGCTGACGAAGCTCGTGTGGTCCGTCCGGGTGCTCGTCTCATCCTCTGCCTGCGTGCTTGTTTCAGGAGAACCAGAAGCTGAGGGAGCAGAACGACGAGCTCAACGGTCAGATCCTCAGCCTCAGTCTGTATGAAGCCAAGACGCTGTTCGCCACGCAAACCAAGGCCCAGTCCCTCGCCGCTGAGATAGAGACCGCCTCCAGAGATCAGGTGAAACCAGACGTGCATGTTGGATGGATTTATTCTCAATAATGTCACAGGTGTTACTATTAGTAGGTTACTTACAAATCACTGTGTTCTGCATATTACTACAGTGTTTCAGATTTGATGGTACTCTGCATATTGAGGAGTTCTTTTCTTAAACTTGAATAACTGAACACAATGAAACGTGTGTTTTGTGCAAATGAAATACACAAATGAAATGCACGGTGTATGTTTAAGCGTTGAGAGTGGCGTAGAACTAAAAGACCCTTGTGAGTGCTTGTTGGGGAACTGAGGTGACAATGTGGGAAACGAACGTGTCTCTCTCCACAGTTAATGGAGGCCCTGAAGGAGCAGGAGGAAATCAACATACGCCTGCGACAGTACATGGACAAAATCATCCTGTCCATCCTGGACCACAACCCTTCCATCCTGGAGATCAAGGGCGAATAGGAGTGACTCCACTGGAATGAGAACCGTTCCAGGTCTCGTTTGGGGCGGGGGATGGGGGTGGGGTGTCATTCCAGTCGTTTGAACAGAACCTGCGTCAGAAGCCTGTAGAGGAGAGCAGAGGAAAACAGAGCCCGTCCGACCGGCTGGAGCGCCTAGATGAACCTGCGGCGCCACCTGCTGTTGGTGGCGGGAAGAGAGCCCGTGGAATGGGACCGCTGCACTGAACTGAAGGGAGCTTCATTTGTGTTTTTGCTCCCTGACTGCAGGTCAGAGTCTTCTACACCTGCTCTGTTTCTACCCGCCGTCTATTATCTAAGCTGTAGTTACTGTCAACGACAAAGTGGAATATCCTGCACTAAAGACGCTGAAATGCACTGGACACATGCACCCTGCCATAGCCACTGGAACAACGTGACACACATGTTTGCTGGTGCAATGATCACTCTAACCATCCACAGGAGCACCGTTTCATATGATGATTTAAAAAAATGGAGTGAACCCAGTCCCGGTCTGTGAACTGCTCATCTTTTCCTCCCTGTCACGTGGGCGTTCTGTAAGTTTAAAGAGAGGATAGAGGAAAGAGGGAACGGTGGTCAGAGAGAGAAAACAATAAGGCCCCCTGAGCCTGCAACAGAGCACAGTGTGTCGGGGGGGCGTGCAAGCGAAGGAGCGTTTAAGTAAAGTCGTCGATGGTTAATTGAAGGTGATTTCGTCTCAGTTGTTTCGTGAGAACATGTCTTCCAGTGAGCTTGCAGTGTCAATCAGCCCTTGGCCGGTCCGGATCAAACGAGCGTCACTTTCAGGAGCGGAAGCTGCGACCGAGCGTGCGTCTTTAAACTGTCACTTCCATGACTGCTAAGTTGCCAGCGATGCATCGGTTTGGGGTAAAAATAAATAGAGTATATCGTTGCTAGCGATACACCCCATTGATGTTGCGTAGAAATGTAAGGAGATGAATGTACAGGGTGTGGGGACCGGGTCACCAAATCAACTCTCTACGCTCAGTGAAATCAACTCAGATATATTGTACGTGAGCAGCACAGGAGACTCACTTTTTGGTACAAAAAAAGAGATAAAAATGGAATTGGTAATCTCATTCAGTGTTTCCCCGACGGGGATTGGGGGGGGTAGTTGGAGAACCGTGCATTTTTTTTTAATAATCCCAGACTTTTGTAGGGGGGGCGGGGCCTACTCTAATATAATTGTAGAGGAAACACTGTCATTGAAGCCTACAGGTTGCAAGTTTTTTTTTCTGGAAACTCTTGATACTGTAAATATAACGAATGTACAACTGGATATTTCACTCTTCCCATAAGGCCCTAAATAGCCTTTTGACCTTGAGTCGCTGTAATTGTTGTCGGTGTAACACTCACGTTGGTACTGTAACAGAGGGCATTGTTTAGGGGACGGGAAACAATTACAATCTGCTGTATTATGCAGTTATTTCAAAACAAAGTTTTGCTTCCTTGCACAAAAGAAAAAACAAGGTTGTTTCCTTTTGCATGGCTCACCTTTTCTTCTGTCTGTGCCTTCTTTGAGGACATTTTTCGAGACGACATCGCTTTAGATTCACATAGTTTCTTCCGACGGTACGTTCTATGTCTACGTCTGACATGTCCTTGACTTGTAAATGTTGTAATTATATAGTGATACTTTGTATTCATGTGCCACTCACCGCTCTTTTTTCAGATTGATACACTATAAACTATTTTCTACAGTTTCATTGAGAAGGTAACTGGCGTGTTGCTTTTGGCTTTCTTTTTAGAAAAGCAGTACGCAGGCCTGGTTAGCATTTTGGGAATATTTTGTCAACGTGATGATTTTTTATGATGTCGGGGACGTCATATTTCAGTTTACAGTTCTTTGGTAGCCCCTAGTAAGTTCACTGCTTTTCAATCTGCTTAAAAACGGCTGTAAACTGTCTTCCTAACGTAAAGATAATGGTGAGCATTATGAGCAGTAGTAACGTATTTGCCAATAACTGCTGATTTGTGTCTTGGGTTGCTTCACAAATCTTTTTACTTTGCAGCTACTTGTACCATTCTAGATTTTGCAAAAAAGGATAAACTTCACACAAATCCATTTCATGCAGCTCTCACATTTGGAATTATCAGGGCTATCTAATGCGATGTATTCATTATAAACAGCAATAAAATGAATTTTCCAGTGAGGCTGGCTCATGAGATTTCTTATTTCTAGAAATAAAAAAATGATCACTTGTAGTGATTGTGTTGTACATACAAAACATTTCAGCTGACATTAAGGTAACCCTTTCTTATCCAGGTATATCTCTGATCTCATAATTCACAATCACTGTTTATTGAAGGTTGGTCGCATCAGAGAGAGATTTAAACAATTTAAGCAATGGGACAACACGACTGGAAATGAAGTTCCCCCTTTTGCCGCAAGAGGTCACTGTTTGACCATTAACGTGCCGGGATGAGCGCGCACTGCTAAACAAACACACACACCAGATAACCGCAGGGGGGCGGATTTCATGCACGAACCAGGTACAAGTCCCTCTTTAAGAATTCAAAAAATCCTCTACAAACACACACTTGGTTCTCTAGAGCCACCTGTCGGCGGGACTTTGACTTGTGCCTCGTCCTTCGTCCCGCTCGCACACCGCGGAGGCGCGCAGGTAAGAACGTTAACGAAACGTTAGGTTCTAATGCTGGACTCCAATCACGGGATTGGGTAATTAATGATTGAAAACTCAATTATGAGATTTACTTAGCCGTAATGTGTTAGCTGCCCCCCCCCCCCCCCCCCCGCTTAGGACGTGTATGACGATGGCTGTCAATCACAAGTCTAACTTAACGTTAGCTAACCGGGGATGTTAGCGTGCTAGCTTTAGCTAGCAGCCGCTACGTAGCCGAAGTAACGATAGTTAACGTTACATTAACTTAAATTACTTATTAAAGTAAACGCTAATGTTTCTGTCTTCTTCCGTGGCGGTTTGGAGAGTTGTTGTGACAGGAGCTGCTGTTCGTACAGAAACAGTTCAAAATATGTTGTGAAAATCTAATTAACGTCTTAGAGTAGCTTTAGCCTCGAAGTTAACAGTTAACCTAACTTTGAGTTAAATGCAGCAAGGCCCGCTAACGTAACGTTAAAGTTATATTTAAGTTAATCAAACCGTACAGTTGTCAAGGAATCGTGAAAGCAAATTAAGCACAGTGAAAAGAGAAAGTAGAGGGGTAAAAAAACACAACGTTAATTTATGTTCTCTACTAGTGTTACTACTACTTCTCTTTCCCGGAAAAGATTCGCTTACCCAGGACCTGACAGTCAACTTTGGGAACTCCGTACTAACGCCCACTTCGACCGCTAAGAACCTCGGCGTCACACTCGACAGCCAACTCTCCCTGACTCCCAACATTGCCGCGACAACGCGATCCTGTAGATACACGCTCTACAACATCAGGAGAATACGTCCCCTTCTCACTCAGAAGGCAGCGCAGGTACTGATTCAGGCTCTTGTCATCTCCCGCCTGGACTACTGCAACTCCCTCCTGGCAGGTCTCCCTGCCACCGCCATTTGACCTCTGCAGCTCATTCAGAATGCAGCAGCTCGACTGGTCTTCAACCTTCCGAAATTCTCCCACACTACTCCACTCCTCCGCTCTCTTCACTGGCTACCGGTGGCCGCCCGCATCCAGTTCAAAACATTGGTGCTCACGTACCATGCTGTGAATGGATCGGGTCCAGCTTACATCCAGGACATGGTCAAACCCTACATCCCAACCCGCACTCTCCGCTCTGCATCTGCAAAACTACTCGTCCCTCCCTCACTGAGAGCAAAACACTCGACTAGGTCTCAACTCTTCGCTGTCCTTGCGCCGAAATGGTGGAACGAGCTCTCTGAAGACACCAGGACCGCAGAGAGCCTTCACATCTTCCGCCGCAAGCTAAAGACACACCTCTTCAGACTCTACCTCGACTAAAGACTAACAAATTGTAGCACTTAAATTGTACTTGTAACGTCACTCATCTATAGCAAATTGTAAATTGGCTTATTTGAGAAAATTGCACTTTCTTGTTTCTTGTTTTCCTGAGTTTGTACCCTATGGTTGAATGCACTTATTGTACGTCGCTTTGGATAAAAGCGTCAGCTAAATGACATGTAATGTAATGTAATGTAATGTATGTTTCATTCAGTACACCCTCTAGCTGAGGTTACTTAAGATTAAGGTTAGGCTTCACAGTAACATCAACTTTACACCTCGTAATTCACACCAACATAAAAGTACATACTTGTTTACCAGGCCTACGGTTTAAAATTAAAAGTAGCCAATATGTTAAAATTAAAAACAGTGGCTCTATTTAATTCAACAAGATAATTACAACATTAATTCTCCCTCTTCTCTCTGTTGACAATTGCTCTTGAAAGGTATCCAAAACATATTTGCCATAACTAAAGTGCAAATTAGAATATATTCAAATATTTGCAAAGAAATAGCACACATGTTCATTTTTCAACATGTACTAGGGTGAAAATATTTTTTCTAGGGGTTAGGGTTCATCCCCAAATTCTAATATTTTTAAAGAATATCTAAAATAGTTGCTCTATATTAATTTTTAATATATTTAAGGATTTTTGGTCATGATCATTTTTTTCATCCTTCGCGCTTCGTTAACCTCTTCCAGGTGTCGTGATGCCTCAGAACGTTATGAACCGTGACGGTGGACGAGGAGGAACTCGCCACAGCACCTGTAGAGCCTCCGGTCGGGGCCCGGGTCTGGTTCGTGGAGGCGCTGCTCTCAATGGCGTGCTGGCCGCTCCTCCTCAGAGCACGGCTCGGTTCACCCAGGGGAACGGCGCCCAGCCACCGCGTGTGGTTGAGGGTGACGTTAACCATTGGTACAAGAGCAAGAAGGCAGCGCCCCCGAGGACACTGAAGAAACGGGGAGGCCCCGCCTCCCCTGTCACTCATGCCTCAGCGGCTGGCAGGGTCTGTAGTGCGGGCAGCCTCGCTGGTGTGTCGGGGAAGGGGGCCGCCAGTCTAGACGACGCCGCCGCCGCCTCGCCTGTTGACTGTCAACAAATGGCGCCACGAGTCATCCTGTCCAAGAACCAGAGAAGAAGGTACCTGCCTTTTTGAATAAATCTGTGTTTGAAAAAGCTCAGGTAGCCGATCACACCTGTCCGTGAGATCTCTCCTGTATGACATTAGATGTTAGGCTGGTGGAGACTGTTGGTTTGGTTAAAATGGAGACGCAACTGTTCTGACGGACAGGTGAGGTAAAAATATGAAAAATTAAACCCATTTTTCCTCCTGCCTGTGGTGCTTTTTATAAATCTAAATAGTTTAGGTGTGAATTGCCTAGTTTAGGAGATTAGGTCCGAAGTGATGTCACCCTTCTCTCTGCTAACATGGGACCAGAGGTGTCAAGTAATGAAGTACAAATACTTCGTTACTGTACTTAAGTAGAAATTTTGGGTATCTATACTTTACTGGAGTATTTATTTTTCAGACAACTTTTTACTTCTACTCCTTACATTTTCATGCAAATATCTGTACTTTCTACTCCTTACATTTTAAAAACAGCCTTGTTACTTCCGGCTTGTCGTAGTTCAAAAACACAAACACAAAAAACTAGATAAATGGCGCTATGCGGACAGTGAATTTGATTGTGGTTGGATGAGAAGTATAAACACTTAGCATCCAGACACCCGATTGGTTTTCTCCGCGATGCGCCGGCAGATCGGAGCGACACCGGGTGGGAAAAGTGGCCTTTGGAAAGTTGGTATTTAGCGAAATGGACCCTCCTCCTCTTCCTCATGCAGATTCCATGTAACGTTAAATGAGTATCTTCATGACCGTGGGTTTGTCCTAAATGTTTTATTGAGAGTTTGGCACAACACAGCGACTTGCAAGCAGCGTATTAAATAAAGAGATGGGTGTCTTACTGCGGCTTTGCAAATGAACACAAAGGGATTCTGATTCTTATTTGGCCAATGTTTTGATAACCGACCGCTGCCAGTTCAGTGTTTCCCATCATTATAAACAGGAGCGCGCCCCCACCCTGTAAAAAGTCAGGACCCCCCCCCCTCATGACGTAGTAAACCTGGGGGAGACACTGCAGTCTACCGAATCAATGGGAACAACGTGTGTGTCCGTCCTCTGACTCGTGACACTGGAAAATGGGTTGTGGTTTTATCTGTTTAAGTCAGATACACGTGTTGTTTTGTTGTGTCTCTGAATGTCGCCATGTTTCCATCATCCCAACGGCAGGTCACGTGATCTGCTGGCACCTTCTGATCACATTGTAACGGACTGACATGTTGTGTAAGCGAGGTTACGCATTTAAGAGTTTGTCCTTAATGGAATTTCTTACATTACTTTTACTTTTATACTTTAAGTAGTTTTGAAACCAGTACTTTTATACTTAAGTAAAAAGCTTGAGTTGGTACTTCTACAGGAGTCTTTTTAAACCCTAGTATCTGTACTTCTACTTGAGTAATAAATATGAATACTTTTGACACCTCTGCATGGGACGAGTTCCTACATAAACAACGAGGTCTGTGGATTATCAGGAGTTGAGTTTTTTTAAGTGTGCTGTTTTGCTGCTCTCAGCGCCACACACCAAGCGCCATTTTATTTGAGAGAACGCAGACATCTCCACGGCCGTTGGCTCCGTAACCCGGCAAGCCACACCAGAATAATCTAGACCGACTAAATAGTTAAGAGGTTTAGAATAATAATTAAACGGGTAAGGGAGAACATTTGTATTCATGATTTTGGGGGGAACTTCCTTTTTTTTTTTTTTAAGGGTTCTGAAATTTGACTTCTAAATAGCTTTATATTTCAATACTTGTAATACACACAGACAGCACCAGATTATCCAGAATTATATGACAAAATATGGCCATTTTCACTTCGTTAAAAAGAAAAAAATCAATCTGACAACTTTTTCTTTTTTAGAAACCGGAAAGCCTGTCCAGAGAACCATACACTCTCAGGAATACCACCCCCACCACCACCGGAGGAGGAGGAGGAGGACTGGGAAAAGGAGAGCCAAGAGGTCACGCTGATTGACTGGGAAAATAACTGTTTTGGCATCAATCCCTACGGTAAAAATATACATGTTACTATACAAATTGTGTGTTTTTTGTGTGTGGTCCCCCACTTTTTCCTTTCTTATGTGTATAAGTATGTAATATAAATATAATTTAAATGTGTGTATTCTGTTTGTTTTGAAAAGGCAAAAATAAAGAGACTAAAACATAACTTCCAACACCAAATGTTCTAAATATATTTTGGGTAAAATTTCTTCTCCCTGCAGTCGACTCAGCGGCCCAAGTGAAAGGTCCCATCAGTGATCTCTGCTGATATTCTGACCTCCAATTCCAGAAGAACTAACCTTGTATTTCTATTGCGGCGCTCTAATAATAGCGTTGCCTGAGCAACACACCTGTGCATGTTTCAGCTTCCGAGACGCTGCGTTATTGTGCACTTTGCACTGAGAGAGGACGCCCTCCCTGTTTTTGAATTTGTACATGTTCTGGTATTCTCTGCCCTCCTCCAGGTCCACAGGATGTGATCCATTTTTCCTTGCGGTATTCACCCTTCCAGCGAAGGCACGAAGTCGTCCCACTATTGATGGCTGGTTACAGCCCGGAGGTGCACCACCCGCAGCCCGTCCGTTGGAGGCACTACGGCACCCCCACCGAGCAAGGGCAGTTTGCAGACGCTGACCACTAGGCCAGGCGTGTGCGGCTGTGTGACCGGGTCGGTAGAAAAAGTTCTGGAGTTTTCTTATTGGTTAGAATCACTGCAACAGCTTCAGTCCAATAATAATAATAATAATTGCGTTCAGTTGTTTTATTTATTTTTTGTTTTATATCTATATTTTATATTTAGGTTAAATGGTAAGCTATTCATTTTTTTATCTTAAGGAATGATTTTAGATGATCTGCTATACTTTGCTGTTGTACCGCATACATTTACGGTTCTTTCCATGTCTTCATAACTTTGGCTAGAATTCCAGGAAACTGAAGGAATACCCTTTTATTGTCATGTTTACCCTTTGTTTTAAAATGCCTCTAGTAGGAACAATGTTGTCATAGTTCATTATCAATGTTTGTTCATCAGATTTGTGAGTAGATGAAGAAACGATTTTGATTTGGGGTCACCCAACTCGACCACGAAATTTGGTTTGGATGCTGTATCAACAAGTTGTGATCTGACCTTTCACAGTTGCAATAAATCCAATTTTCTTCACTAAATCCTGCTGCTTTTCACTTGATGGGACATTTCTGAAGAGATGGCGGCTTTTGGCCACTAGATGGGAGAGCTGTCGTGAGATTAAGCTTTTCTGTTATTTCATACACCTTCGGGGAGTTCATCAGGTTCATTCCCAAGGACTTGGACCCCCCTCCGTTCCCCCACCTCCTGTCTCGCTCCATTCACAATGCAGATAAAGACTGCGTTGAAGGCAACTGTTGCCGTGTTGATAAATGTCATCTAATGGCTCTAAATGATTCAATGCCCACAGAAGCCGTGTCAATAATAGATTGAGGTCATAATCTCCTGCTCTGATGGGACTTGTCTCTTCAAAGTATACAGCACCAAATCATTGAGTACCAAAGAGAGGAAGCAGCTTGAGGTCGTCTGGATATCTGTGTGAGGGGTAGACGTGACTGATGGAGTGGTGATTGGGGACGATGTGGCGGGGGATCGAATGGTCACTTGAACCTGAGCCGTTGTGTACAGAGCGGATGGAGGAGTGACTGTCAGAATGTACGTGTCTTCATCCGTTGGAAGAACCGGTTTCCAGCAAAGCGGCCCGCACTCGGCGCCTTCTTTACTTTACCCCACCGCTGATCATCGTTGGCCGAGCTGGCTTGCCCCGTGAAAAATCCAAAGCTGAATTCCGAATGTGTTTGATCTCGCACATTTTAATAAAACATTTGGGAGCCCAAAGCCTCCTGGCTGCTGCTTTGTGTTTCCCCGATGCTGTTTTCACACCCGTGGGACCCATTCTGTTAAGAGCAAATTGTTTTCTTATTTCAAGTTCCCCTCAATCTGAGGATTCTGTTCACAGAACACATCTGTTATTCATTGTGATTGCAGCGGCTCACATTCAGCCTCTGTGAGAGGCTGCTTCACATTCACTAACTAGACAACCGCATCACTTAAACCCCCCCAACCCTCCAAAAAGAGCTGTGTTTAGGCTGGGTTCTCCCTCGAATGGCTGCAGTAGCAGTAATAGGCTTGCATTATGATTTTTGTGGGGGTGGTATCAGATCTGCATTGTTAAGAAACAGCGCTTAGTAACCCCGATGAGTGATTTCTGCCTCTACATGTCTCAGCAGACCCGTTTCTCCACATCCTGCTTTCCCTCCCACGTCCACACTGCAGTGACTGTTTGGGTCAAGTTCAGCTCATTGCTGGTTTGAGAGTACATTACCAGAGTATTGGTAATCCACTGACCACCCACACTGTTTATGGTATTGATTACCAGATACACTACATTTCCCCCACTGCTCCGATGACTTTGGGAAATCTCCAAGTCCCCTTATTATTTCTTTTTTAGAGTCTCATTTATCAGATGTGAATCATCCCCACCACACAACCAGCAGTTATTCAATCTGGTTCCAGTGCGGCCATTCATTTAGCATTCAGCGTCTTGATTGATCTGCCAGCGTAATGGCTCGTTACCGGAAGACACCCAGGAGGAAATAGGAGCAGGGCCGTGGTCAGTTTACCCTTCGGCAGCTAACCGAGGCAAACTGTCCCCGGTCGTCTAAACCTGCGGTCTTAAACGGCTTAGCCTTCCTGCGCTTCCACGCCGAGGCTGCGGCCAAACAGGCGCAGCCTCCACCGCCTCGCTGAGCACGAGCCAACTGCAGGTCGACTCTAATGGGGATATTGAGTTTCTCTTCGTGTAAAAACCAAAACCAATGGTGTAGCATTAAAAACGCATCAGAGAGCTGCACACCCGTGCGCTCTGACCAAGGTGTGAGTGGTCGCTGAGGAACCAGATGCATATCCATCCGCCGCTTCAAATAGTCCCCAACTACTCATAGTTTGTCCTGTTTGAGTGACGACAATGCTGCTACTGATTATCTACCGGTCCCTGGTGCGGCCTGAATGAAACTTTGCAGATTTGGCACAAATATCCACATTGACTTGAGGGTTAGCCAACTACAATTGGAGGTTTCACGTGTCTAAAAGGATTCATTTGTAACGTGGTTACATTTATGAAAGAAATGGAATTAAACTAAGTTGTCTGAGACTTAAGCTGTAGAAATGAACGTTTACCCTGTTTTATAATATATTATAACATGAGTTGGCACCAATGTGCGTTTGGGTGAGAGCCACAGTCGGGTCCAAAGTCTCAGTATTAAAAGACGACACTGAATATTGAATTCTGTGACCGTGATTTAAAGATGTTAGCAGTTTTGAGCTTGGGGTATTGAATAAAGAGCTTGTGGGTTCCAAGAAACAACCGAATACTCTACTCATTTTGTTTTTATGGATGTCATCCTAATCCAAAGGGCTTGATAGACACTGGGTGCCAATTACGTCACCATTTGGGGGAGGGGGACAGTCGAAAAAGAAAACCCTCTGTTCCTGACATTCTTCTAATGATGTGTTGGGTCCTCTGGAGCTTAATGACCCCCCCGCAGAGCTCAATAAGCTGCACACCCAGTTCAGACGAGTTCCTCCACTGACTCACCTCCTGGCTCACTTATTTCATTTCATAAAAATGAAATCCTGTGCCTTCTCGCCATTGATCTTGTAAATCCGCATGTTGGCATATAAAGGAAGATGCCTGCGGTTAGCCGACGGAGCCCCGAGCTAACCAGTACAAACACACAAATTGGCAGTTTTTGGGGCTTTGGGATTCCAGTAAACCGGAAGAACGATCTCCAGTCCACTAGTGAAAATTGGGAACTGTGTGGCCCTGATCCGTGCCAGAGCGTGTTTCAATTGGCCGACGTTAAATTGAATGACTCCCTGCCCCTTAAATTCTCCTGAAACGGTGGGTAGTATTTGATGGTCTGTTTCTTTAGTGCTCTAAGGATGTGATTTCTCTGAAGTTCAATAAAAGCTGGCTAAAGAGGTAGAAGGCTTTGCGGTTTCCTGTCATTGTGAACTTGACCTAGTAGGAAGACGTCCAGAGTGTAAGGGATCTGGGGGACAGAGCCTCTAGAAGAGGAATAAAAAAGGCTGTGGAAATAGCTGGCAGCAGCGCCTGGAAAGGTTCCAGCAGCCTGGTGACCCAAGCTCACTGTTTCTTAACTCTGTGATGAAACGAGACAGCAACACAAGAAGTGCTGCAATGCTTCTGACTCCTCTTCCAAGTAGGTTCGCCCCCCTCCCTCCCCGAATCGTCTGCAGCTCTTCAGCCAGTTTCTCCCGTGTATTTTGTTTTTGCACTGTAATTTAAGTTTTGGCATATTCACTGTTTCTGGGTGGATGGCCGTGAAAGAAGCTGTCGCCACATCTGTGGAGCAGAGATTCTGCTGAGTCAGAGGGATTGGAATCAGTGGGTGTTGGGTCTGAAGTGAAATCTTCACCATATGGTGAAACCGGAGTGCCGCACCAGTACTGAAAGCCTGGATCCAGTCCGCTCACTTCTCCAGTGTCGCTCTAATACGACTTTGTATCACATTCTCTTTGTAACACGGTGGTTTTCTATTCACAATTCAGGAAAGACACATTAACACACAGATAATTTCACAGAGAATTATATACTGTATAGGAAACCCCGTTGTACCCAACGCCATTCCTCTAACTCCCCACTGCGGCTTTCGGGAGGAGACGGCGTCTTTTTGATTACTTGGCTTTGAACGCGCAGTAATTGAAGGTCCATCCGTCGGATCATTCGCTGCCTGCAGTACCGCGCCAGGCCCAGACTGAGGCAGCGGCAGCCGGCCGCGCAGCGCCCCGACCCTCGGGCCCGTCGCCATGCCGGACTCATAGCGCCGGGCCGGCTGCCACGCCACGGCCTGTGACGATCTGCTACCCGTCCGCCCCCCTGCCTGCCTGCTAGTCTCTTACTGACAACCTGTCTGTCCTGTTGTCAAGATTGGACAGACAGGTGTCCTGAGTGCCTCTCTGGACGGCTCCCGTCCGCTGGCTTATTTTTTAACATATACGTATCATTTTTCTTTTCTTTTTTTCCTTCTTCGGATTTGTCTTGCTGCAGTAGCTGCTGAGCTGCCTGCCTGTCCTCCTCTCCTGTCCAATTTTGTAATCCAGCCGGGACAGGTGCTGGATAACAAGCACCGTGCCGACCCACCAACCAAATACAAGAACACAGGAGGGAGTGAAAGAGAGAGGAGAAGGAAGCTGTGATGGATGAAAGAAAAGATAAATGGGGGAGGGAAAAATAATTAAAGGGAGGAGGGGAATAGGGAGGGGAGCAGGTAGAGTGAGAGACGGCGGTGGAGAGAAATGGGTGCGAGGCGGGGAAGGAACGAGCACAAGTAGATGGATGTGCTTTGGAGATGGAGACGACGGAGGGGAGGGTGGAGCAGATGGATGCGCAGGCAGTGAGTGAAAGACGTAGTTGCGCTCCGCTGCTGTTCCTTTGCTGTCCGACTGCAAGGTGGTCTGAGGAGCAGAACCGGGACTCTAAGGAGGCTTGATATGCACAAAAATCTCTCCTCAAACACTCTGGTATCTAAAATGAGTTGGAACCTCGATAGGCGCCATGTTGCATTTTCTCGGCCAAATAAGTGATCATCCTTCTAAATATAGGAGATTCATCGACAATGAAAATAATAGTTAGTTCATCTCTATGGTCTAAAAGGCCGACCCTGAGGTTGTCACTGCACTGGTTCCCTCAACGAAAGCCGGTGGGAGTTTTCATGTCATTTTGGATTATTATATGAAATTCATTTTTGTGAAACTTACAATCGGGTAGCAGAACGCACGAACGCAACATTAAAACCTCTCAAGCGGACTCCACTGTGTGAGATACAGTGAACTGACCTTACCATATACAGTAGAAGCAAAAACAGATGATATTCGTCTTTTAACATGTCCAACTCACATATTTAGCTAATCTCACTCGTCCTTTTATCCACAGTAAAGGGATGGCTTGTATCTGCTGAGCTTGTGATTCTATGTGTGTGCGTGTAGAAAAAAGCCGAAGGAAGGAAAGGTGGGGGATGTATATCAACCTGTGTGTGTGTGTGTGTCTTTGATCAGCAAGGCTGAACCCAGAACCCTCATTCTCCACATTGCTCCGTGGAGCGATAAGAGGAGTGGA